AGATGTAAGGTGTAATAGGCAGGTTGAATAGTGACAGGATTTAAATCCTTAATAATTTCACAAGATGTCAGTCTTTCTATAGATTCAGTATATTATATACTTGATATTTTTTCTTAAGTTGGCTCTCACATGATTATAGATTTCATAATAGGTAAAGTGATCTGTCAACAGTTGAAATGCTTTTTTTTATTAGCTAAACATGTAATATACATGTTTCATTAGCTAAAATTATTAAACCAGTATACTGATATGCCCAGAGTGGTAATAAGAAGAAAGAAGAGGCAGGCGCCTCTATTGGGAGTGGAGGAGACCTCCCCAATGAATGTGCGCCTTAGAAGCTAAGTTGCAGTTGGTGGAGATGATGCTCCAGAATATTTCTTTCCACTTGAGAGGAAGGCAGCCTGAGCTGGAAGAGTTATGGGAACCCGAGCCAGGAAAATGTTAAGCTCTTAAGAGAACGGCATCTCCTGAGACTAGGACCATGACCAAGTCCTTATATTCAGTGGGAGAGATTGAGGAGGGACCACAGAGGTTAGTGTCCTGGACCCTGACGCAAGGAACTTCCACTGCCTTGCTAGGGCAAGGAATGCATCCAGGAGAACTTCAAGTAAAATTTAAAGGGGAACTGCAACAATTATCTTCCGAAAGGAAGATCACTGTGGTGATGGGAGGAGGTGGATTTCGAACCCTAAATCGCTTGCGGCCGAGTAGCAAGAAGAGGAAGGTGGAAAAAATGGGATGCTTTTCATGTGGAAAAGAAGGACACAGAGTGGCTGTGTGCTGGAAAGAAACAGTGCTCAACTGGTCAGAGAAGGAGAAGGAGAAAGCCCAGAATCCACTGTAACAAGTTCTGACCATGGTGACGATACTTCCCTTAGTTAAAACATGTCTGGACTCTTTCAAAGCATCATGTGCAGATGTGCCTTAAAATGTACCCAGAATATTATTTTGGGTGACAGACAAAATGCTAACTAGAGCTGGGAATTGATAACTAGGTTGTTAATTGGAGTTGGGTATCAGGAGTATGCTGAACCAACAGCCTGTTTCAAGACAAATATTGCTGTGCTATGCCTACTACTGAAAACCAGCATTCTTGTTATAATTAAATTATTGCCATTAGAAAGCAGTAATTGGCCTCAGTGAGAAGATCATGCTGTCTCTGTTTGGAATATAGATTATAGTTTTGACTAATAATTTTACTGACAGAAAGAAAGGATTGTCAGCAATTATTTCCCTGGCTTTATAAATTTGAAGAGATAAATTCTGTTAGTGTTATTGTAAGGAAATTAAATTGATTGCAAAAGCATTTATAAGTAATCACTGAGGATATGATTGGAAAGAGTGAAAGCCATGCGTAGTTGCTATATATGAAGGAAAAAGAGAGGGGACCTATGTCCTTAGGAGCCTTATATCACTTCATAGAAATGGAAAATGTCTGGAGTTGTATAGCGCAGTTACATTGTTTAATAGGCATTTCCTATTATGACATAAGGTGAACCTACACAGTTGAATTAATACAGTTTGACTCCAATTTAAGTTCCATTGATTGGTACCATGGAATCTTGGGAGCTATGGTTTGGTCAGGCATCAGCATTCTTGGACAGAGAAGGTTAAAGATGTTGTAAAACGACAACTCCCACAATTCCATAGTATTGAGTCATGGCAGTTAAAGTGGTCAAACTGCATGTTATATAGTGTAGATGCACCCATTGTTAGATATTGCTGTACTTTTAATTGGTAGCTACTTTGGCCTCTGTTGTTGTCAAGCAGTTTTTCCCATTAAGGTAGCAAACCACTTAAAATGAGAGATCTAACATTAGTGGTGGCTCTGTACAACATTTACTTTTATTTCACTCTACATGCACAACCACTATATGCTATGGTGATGCTTCCTAGCCAAAATCTTATATATTAAAAATATCAACATCTGTTTTTAGGAACATGAAACAAAGATCAAAACACTCACTTCAATGTTTCTAGTGAATCTGGTTATGAAGGCTGTTCAATTTGTTATTTACAAATATCTCTGGTAGATATGTGATACACAACACCTATTCAAGATATATTTATTGATTATTAATTTAATTTGTATTTTGATATGATAAAATATTTATCCAATCTGGAGATAAATGACATACAAAAAATACTTTTATATGGCTGTCATTTGTAATCACCACAACTGAAGTTATTGATTGCGAACAATTTGCTTTGGGATAATTGTGTAATGAGAATGAATGCTCACATTGTAAGTGAAAATAATTGCCATTATGCAGAATATATAAAATTCTTCAACAATCTCACTCCTCTGGCCTTTAGCCAAGTGTGGAGAATGATGCTGAACATTTGCATCATGTGAATATGTCTCCTTACAATGTGACTGTTTCAGTCTGTTGAAGGCAGTGGAGTTTAGGTTTCAGTCTGTTCCATCTTTAAAGCAACCCTACTATTTTCTCTTTATAGCATAATTTTACTAGTTATTATTTTTGACTGAGTAGTCACCTTCACCCTAACTGGACCTGGACACACCTTTTTGCCCACTCCATGTTATGATGGAGCTTTGCCTAATTGTTATGTGTTTGCATTATTTTGTCAACAGCAGCAGGTTGAGCGAACTTTGCTAGATTTCACGCTTCCCTTATGTTCTTCCTGCATCATTGCCACATACAATCCCCAGACTGAGGGATGGTACAAGGTAGTTCTTTGTCACAGAGCAGTGGTTCTCAGCCTGTGAGTCCCCAGATGTTTTGGCCTTCAACTCTCAGAAATCCTAACAGCTGGTAAACAGGCTGGATTTTCTGGAAGATGTAGGCCAAAACACCTGGAGACTCACAGGTTGAGAACCTGTCGGTTCAGGCCTAGTTAACCCATGGAGCTCACTGGCTCCCATCTCATGATGCACCTGTACTTCCGGCAGGGATCCGTGGGTTCCCCATTCCCCAACAGGGATCCGTGGGTTCCCCGTTCCCCAACTGTGGCTACCGGATTCACCACAACACATGTGAAGAGGTTGTTATTCTTGAAACCCAGTGCTTTAATGTATCCTGCATCAACCCATTGGCTTATTTAGCTTACATTGGTTTCCTCTGATTGATATGATATCCTTGAAGCTTAGGCCAAGGGGGTTTCACAGAACTGTTATTCAGGATAAATTGCTTTCTTTTCTCTTCTTGATTCGTTCTGTGAAAGTTCAAGATTGTGTTGCATATGGCATCAAGCAGCATATGGCACGATTCAATGAGAAAATCAAAGTTATATAGATAACATGTATATAGTTCTTCTAATAATCAGGTCACCTGCCAGAGAGAGAAATAGCTTTCAAAATAAGATGTGCAAGTAGACGCAATGTATACACACCGTAAATTGTTCAGTTGCCACAAAACATGGTATTATCTACATGTGTAAGGAAATATGTAGCATTGTAGGAAAACAAAGCAATGCAGATAAGCATCTAGCATTAGGACATACAGTTGGAATTTACAACAACAAGGGAGCTTAGTGTTAGTAAAGCCCTCAGAGGCCATCAGCTTTAAGTAGAAATGTGCTTCTGTAAGCAATTTGTGGAAGTTTTCTGTTCAAGGTATTTTGAAAGTACAATTACTGAAAATTCTGCATATATACTGCAAAATACTGAACAAGGCTGACTCTAGGGATATCATTAGCTGATGCAGATTAAAAAGAAAGCTTTTAAAATATGTTTTGAAGACAGATACGTTGCAAAAAAGGTTAATGTAAGTAAGTAAGCAAGCAAGTAAGCAATGTAGGCTTTCCTCAAGACCTAAGGCCTGGTATAACTGTGTTCACATTTTACAGCCAAGATGACACACATAAACCACTCTTTTGAAAGGTTTTATTGTTAATCATCTTTTTTCACCCACCAGAGAAGTTTGATGAAGATGGATTTGTGTATGCAGATTACTTTTAAAGAGAACATGCCTTCCCAGTATAGTTGTTAACACACACACACACACCCACACACAACTATGCAATTCAATAAATTCAACTTAGGAGAAAGAAAATATATATATCTCCTAAGCTGAATTTATCGAATTGCATTGTGGTTTCTGTTCAGAAGCTATCCTCATTTACCTTGTCCTTGAGGATTTTGAGGCTCAGAGAAAGTAGAAGGGGCAAGAAGAAAAAGAACAACACAACCTTATTTTTTATACCCACCATCATCTCCCCGAAGGGACTTGGGGCTGCTTACAAGGGGGCAAGCCCACATTACAAATAAAAACAGCATTAAAATCAGTCAAATAAAAACATAACACAATCACAATTCTCCTTTGAGCCGGTCTAGTCAGGCAAGGTTACATGGGTCACAATCAAGACAGATGCTAACGTATGTAAGAAAATGTCAGAGGAATTAGAAATATAGACAGCTTCTAATATGTTGTACTATTGGAAGCTCTCACCAATCTCATTACAATTTAGGAATGGTGCTGTTTTCAGTAGAGATCTGAAATCACATAAAGCCTTTTGTAGGCTTACAGGTACTTTATCATAACTGCCCCCTAGTTGATCTAGCTGTTTTCTCTGAATTAGTCATTGCCTGATTCTACATCTGTTGGCTTCCATCAGCTAGGGAAGATATAACTACCAATGAGCACTTGCTTTCTGAGTCTGATAGGAGTTAACGGTTACATGCTAGGGCAGATACTAGGGCTGTAGAAGAATGTATCAGAGATCATTTTTAGGAAGAAATAGTCTTAGCCTCATCATCTTCAAACGTCTTCTCAGAGTTTTCTAGAATCTGGACCCTAGAGTCATGACATTATCTTCATATTCTTCGCTCATTTAGTTATTCACTGGGATTTCAAACACCAGAGTTGGTAGCTGGAATTAATGTATTGCAGTTTTACAAACGGATACATGTTCAACACTCTGATTTGACTATCCCATTCGACTCTATTCATTCTAGTTGTATTTAACTGATTGTACAGAATGACCCTTCTTATTTCGTAAAAACTGACTGTAGTATTGTTTTACTTTTTTCTTCCTAGATCGCGTTTTCACAACACAACACCATCATGGACCTGGTGCAGTTTTTTGTCACATTTTTCAGGTAATGTTTTTTTCTTGCTGTTGTTACTTTTATGTCTTTTTCCAGTCAACCTGATTTATGTAATTCCTCCTGAGGTTTGCTTGGTAAGATATCTTCAGAGTAGGTTTGCCATTGCCTTTCTCTGAGACTAAGGAGAAGTATTTATTTATTTGTCATATCAGGAGCAAACCAAACAGTTGTATTGTATTTTTAAGAAACAAAAAAACCCCACAAAGTTTGCAAACTTGGCATTCTATAAAATGTCCTTTGACCAGTAGCTGGCCACTTGGAGTGCCTCTGGTATTGCTATAAGAAGGTCCTCCATTGTGCATGTGGCAGGGCTCAGGTTGCATTGTAATAGGTGGTCTGTGGTTTGCTCTTCTCCACACTCACATGTCATGGACTCCACTTTGTAGCCCCATTTCTTAAGGTTGGCTCTGCATCTCAATCGGTTTCTACTAGTTTTCTGTATTCCCAGAAGAGAGTCTCTCATTTGATATCAGCCATTGATTGAGGTTCTGGATTTTAGCCTGCCACTTTTGTACTCTCGCTTGCTGAAGTGTTCCAGTGAGTGTCTCTGTAGATATAAGAAAATTATTCCTTGATTTAAGTCATTAATGTGCTGGCTGATTCCGAACAGGGGTTGGGCCAAAGATGTCACTGCCTTGGTCCTTTCACTGTTGGTTGCTACTTCCCAGCAGATGTCAGGTGGTGCAATACCAGCTAAACAGTGTAATTTCTCTAATGGTGAAGGGCGCAGACACCCGTGATAATGCAGCATGTCTCATGTGAGACTTGCCCAAAGTTACTCAATGACTGATCAAGGATTTGAATCCTGGGTTCCTGAAAGTCCTAGCCCAACATTGAAACTGCAACACCGTGTTTCTATTCTTAGTAAATCTTATACAATCCACATACAATGCCAAAATGTGAGTTCTTTACTTTTTGAATACATTTTAAAAAAAAATCCAAGAAAATGCATCATCCATAAGCATATAGTAGACAATCTGTTTGTTTTGAAATTAATCAGAAAATATTTGGTTTTGCTTATTTCACTTTAGGTTGTATCCCTATATTTAAATTCAGTATTGTTTCACAACAACATGAGAGACTAGAGTGTGTGTATACACACATACATGGCTTTAATTTTGATTTATCTAAATATCAGTAACACTAGTATATCGAGTGTTCTTTACATCCAGTTATTTGGGTTTATTTGCAAGCCACACTTCATTTTAAAAACAATGTTACAGGCTAAGGATGTTTTGAGCATGATACATCCCTGTTTAGGGCGAAATTAAAGTAGGAGTGCACCAAAATGGCTGTACTTCATTTGTTACCTCTATCCCAAGGTCACTTCAGGTTGGCTCTTTCAATTTCATTTTGGAACTTATAGTTCGCCTATTAAATTTTGGAAGGGGTGGTGATAGATGGCTTCCTATTTTTGTTTTATTTTCATTGATGATCACAACTGGTCTCAGTATAGATATCTTAACTAAAGGTTATTATGTCTGTACCTGCTCAATAAGCCTTTTAATGTATTTTCTTAAGCATACATCAATACAATTTTTGCACTTTCCTTGAGAAAATCAATTAAAACAATTACAATTGCATTTAGAAGATTGGTTTGTGTAATTAAAGTTGGTAGGTTTTGAATTCCTACAGCATATGACTTAAAACTGGATGAAGTTAAAGTAATAGTTTAGCTAATATGTTGTTTAGATCTTTTAAAAAAGATTTTAACTAATCACTCCCTATTTATGCTTTCCACGTGTGTGGTCTTTGTGGTTTATCACATATATTGTGTTGAGGAACAGTTTGCTGCTTTCCAATGTGTTTCATTATGCAATGCAATTACCTGGATGCATTTTGAGGTTCCAGTGTCATGCTCCAGCTATCATCTTGTGACACCAGCACTTCTGATTGAATCTTATTTCGAAGTTAATTTGGAGAATAAAGAGGAGGCTACAAGGTCTGAATGTTAAAACCTTAAAGTCCAGTCTGTATGTTTTCATAAGGAATGCTTTAAAATAGTTTTGATTTTATTTTTCATTCTCTTTGTTGGAAATAGAATGAAAAATGACAATGACTCCAATTTGCATCTGATTTTTAAAAAGGTTCACATGACATTTACTTTACAAATGTCACATGGTCAGACAAAGCTTGCAGTATTTTATATACTTCCCTGAGAGTAAGTGTCATTAGAAACCATGGCATTTGCTTTGAAGTAGACATATTGCAAAGCATAGTGTGATTGACATTTATGGAATCTGTTGTGTCAATGTCTTCAGCATTTTATTCCACAAATAAATCTGTCTAGATGCATCTTGTTTGACTTCTCTACCTCCTCTTTTGCACCATTTAAGAACTCTTTATTAGATTGAATTGAGATAAAATATTTAGTTTCCACTATTATGAGCCTCTAGAAACAGTGAATAGTTTTTATTAATACCTAATATGAGAATAATAGAAATAACAGGACTTAGGAAGTTGGCTTAATTTGAGTCACCAATAGAACTTATTTCTGTTTCTAAACACAAATCAGAAACGCCGGTATGTATTAGTTGGCTCATACATCTGTTAAGTCTTGAGGTGTGCAAAATCTAAAATCCCACTGTTTGTGTTCCATTTCCTAACAACAATCTCACTGGGAATGAGTTAACATTTCTTCAGGTGGAATACTAAGAGAGGTTGCCTCCCACAGGCAGACACTCTCATGGAGCTCCCTCTTAGGTGCAGTCACTTTGCAGGCATGTATTGACGGTTCCCTATGAGCAGCAGTTTACATCATGCCTCTCTATTATCTACAACAGTGATTTTAGGTTATTCTGTGTCTTTTGAAAATCTGCTATCTTAACTCCTCACATCTTTAAGCAAATCAGGTGCAAAGGAGCTCTAGAATTTGGAAATACTTTGCTTACACTTAGGCACACTCTTCATTCTTGTTGTTTGCTTCTTTTGATGGCAAGACATTATTCTCCTCTCCAGTTAAAAGCAGCTATATGAGCCAAGGGTTTATCCGCTAAATGTTTTTAAGTGGATGTTTTAATGTACATGTTTTTATTTGCTGGATATGTATTGTATGGCATTGAATTGGACCTTTCTGTGTGCTGCTCTGAGATTTTTATTATATGCATTATGAAATTCTTATAAATTACACTTATTTCAGAAATCCTAAGCCTGATCTCTGGAAAAGCTCTGTTCATTCAGAACACATTTTAATGAAAATATTTTTAAAGGATGAAATACAACTATTGATGCCTTTTGAACAACTATACAGTAGAGCCTCGCTTAGCCAACATAAATGGGCCGGCAGAACGTTGGATAAGCGAAAACGTTGGATAATAAGGAGGGATTAAGGAAAAGCCTATTAAATGTCAAATTATGTTATGATCTTACAAATTTAGCACCAAAATATCATGTTTTACAACAAATCGACCGAAAAAGCAGTTTAATGCACGGTAGTAATTTCTATATTTACTGTGTTTCACCTTAAGTGGAAGGAGCCCCAGGTGATGCAATGGATTAAGCCTTTTGTGCCGGCAGGACTGCTGACAGAAAGGTTGGCAGTTCAAATCTAGGGAGTGGGGTGAGCTCCTGTCTGTCATCTCCAGCTTCCCATGTGGGGACATGAGAGAATCCTCTCACAGGATAGTAAAACATCTGAGCAATGTCCTTTCAGATGGTCAGTTGTCTCACATGAGAAGCAACTTGCAGTTTCTCAAGTCGTTCCTGACATAAAAAAAAAACTTTAAGGGGAAAGCATATATTTGTATATCTATGATTACATGTAATAAATAAGGATAACCAGAGGGCCTATTAATTCTCCCATATAAATATTCTGACATTCAAACATTTAAGAATGCTTAACTCCACCTGCTTGGATTTCACCACCAACACAAGTAGGACATGGGAAGGGGGGGGGGATGCTCATCCCCTTGACATCTGTCTTTCTCCATTAATGACTATTTGTTGTTGTTCATTCGTTCAGTCGTCTCCGACTCTTCGTGACCTCATGGACCAGCCCACGCCAGAGCTCCCTGTCGGCCGTTACCACCCCCAGCTCCCCCAAGGTCAGTCCAGTCACTTCAAGGATGCCATCCATCCATCTTGCCCTTGGTCGGCCCCTCTTCCTTTTGCCTTCCACTTTCCCCAGCATAATTGTCTTCTCTAGGCTTTCCTGTCTCCTCATGATGTGGCCAAAGTACTTCAACTTTGTCTCTAGTATCTTTCCCTCCAGTGAGCAGTCGGGCTTTATTTCCTGGAGGATGGACTGGTTGGATCTTCTCGCAGTCCAAGGCACTCTCAGCACTTTCCTCCAACACCACAGCGCAAAAGCATCGATCTTCCTTCGCTCAGCCTTCCCTAAGGTCCAGCTCTCACATCCGTAGGTTACTACAGGGAATACCATGGCTTTGACTAGGCGGATCTTTGTTGCCAGTCTGATGTCTCTACTCTTTACTATTTTATCGAGACTGGACATTGCTCTCCTCCCAAGAAGTAAGCGTCTTCTGATTTCCTGGCCACGGTCTGCATCTGCAGTAATCTTTGCACCTAGAAATACAAAGTCTGTCACGGCCTCCACGGTTTCTCCCTCTATTTTCCAGTTGTCAATCATTCTTGTTGCCATAATCTTGGTTTTTTTGATGTTTAACTGCAACCCGGCTTTTGTGCTTTCTTTTTTCACCTTGATTAGAAGGCTCCTCAGCTCCTCCTCGCTTTCGGCCATTACAAAGTAGTATTATATGTTGTTTTGTGTAAATGCATCAAATAAAATAGCAATGGGAACAGTATTTAATATATGAGACATGTTACATTTCAGAAAGTGGCTATTTTCTATTAAAAATAGTTTTATGCAGAATCCCGGCATTGTTTCATCTTTTTTGATGGATAGGTGTGCAGCTTTCTTGTTCCTGTATTGAATTTACATTGATCCTCTCATATTCTCACTGCAGTTCAGGCATGACTTATATGTCCATATAGTTCACTAGTTTGCACTGCCACGACTGCCTGGTTCTCTG